TTTTTTTGTATGCGTACATGCGGTGAAATGCATGCACGACGACAAATCTGTTATGACGTTGTAAACGTCCGACAACAATCACTGCTAATATTTTGTTGGTCTCGCCAAACGTTAGTAATTTTTTGTAATTTTCTTTTGTTTTATTTTTTTTTTCATTTATTTTTGTTTTTTTGATGCCAAACTACACATATTTAAATGACTACATACAAATTACAAATACAACAATGCGTAACATAAATGCCGAAATAGCTGGCAAATATAATTGCTAAAAATATTTCTTATATTTTTTGTTTGTATAGTTTCAAACTAAGTTATAACTCAAGCTAATATTAATTTACAACTAATATTTAAATTATTATTTTTCTTGTAAGCATAAATCATAAATGTGTTTTTTGTCATTGTAATAAGCACGCTACAACTAAAACACATAAAAAGTCAAATATAATTGCATTGGTTTGTAGTTACTACAAATACAACTTTTAAGGAAAAGTTTTTGTTATCTTACAAATTAGGCATATTTACACTTAATACTTAACTTATTTTTTTTAAATAGAATTTTTTATTTATCCTTTTAATCGGGTAAGTTAGATTAACTTTTCATTTAAAAAGCTTTTAAAGACATTTTTAAAACATTACTCCAATTAACTATATACTTGAATGATGTTTTCAAAACCTAGCAGCGTTTTCGTTTTGCAAAAGAACTGATTCGAGCGCCTGAAAAATTTAAATCGTGAATTTCGAAAAACTTAACAATTTCAATTTTACTACGGAAATAATAAATTAAAACAGAACTCTAATAAGCACAAACTTCATTAAAATTTTTTTTTTTAGTTTTTTTTTTTTAAGTGTCCTGGTGTTGCACTGGGATTTCGGCTCTAGTGAGCACACAAAAATGTCAACCTGTTTCTTCTTAAACTGCTTTCGTTAATTTTGCCAAATTTTTAGCTTGTTTAGATTGCCCTTGTTTAACACGAAAATTTGCAATATTTTTTTTTGTTTATATCGTTTTTATATATTTTTTAATATTGTTGCATCACAGCAACTACCAAGAAAGTTCAAAACCTACGCTCCTGCCTGCTGCAGGGCCAGCACAAAAGCAGGGCTCTCAAAGTGGCTCGAACTGTACCCTTGCCCCGCCGCATAAACAGTTCCCTCACAACTTTTTCATCACCACACAGATGTGGTTGCGTCCAAAATGCTAAGCAGCCAGTTAAAAGTTTCCAATTTAAAGCCAGTTTGAAGCGTTTCCATTCATCAAACTGTTAAATTACACATCCACTCGACTTATTTTTTTCTCTTCACCAAAAATTTTGCTAAAAACTCTTAGCCAAGCATTTCTTATCGTTAAATTCATTCTACTGGCTCTTTTGAATCCGTATGTATTATTTTACTGACCATAATTATGGCTGCTCTAACTGGGATTGTTCTTTCGACCTTTATTTGACCGTCTCGAAAAACTGCTGCGCAACTATTAAACTTCTACTTATGCTTATTTCTGTACTTTTGCTTCATTCTCAAGCTTTACTTTGTGAGTTTTCAACTGTTCATAAAATTTCAATACAACTAGTTTTGACTCAAAAAACCTTTTTTCTTCCAGTTAATTTTTTTGTTTAAAAATTCTCCAAAGCCCGTCGCAGCTTTTTACAATAAAATGGACATTAAGATTCACGCTCCTTCTTCACCTTTACCTCCTCACCCAGTATGGTGGTAATTTCGCCTTGCATAAAGGCCCACGGAATTGTCGAATTTGCTAATGGGCAGCGGTCTCCACTGGGACAGTATACCTCGTTGCCGAGACCCTGGAAATGGTTTGGAAATGAATAAAATCAATGTACCTATATTTCAAGTAAAACCCTATACTTACATTTTGCCGCTTGATGCTCTCTCTACTGCAAGGAAAACAGAATTTATGATGATTAACCGACGGACACTGCACAAAGTGTGTATCTTCCAGCCGTTCCTGGCACAACGTGCACTTTAGTGTGGCATTTTGTGCAGCTGCTGCCGCATTCGACGCTGAGGTTCCACCAACTGCTGCTGCGTTTGCTGAATTCATGCCGCTCGGTGCTTGACCATTGCTGTTATTTCCGCTCGGACCGCCGCCGTTGCTGTTTGCATCGGCGCCATTGCCGCCAGGTGGTAGTGGACCATTATTTCCCCCAACATTGCCGCCACCACCGCTACTCACACTAACTCCACCTGTGCTGCTGCCATTGCCGCCGCCGCCTCCACCAACATTGCCGCCACTACCCGGACCAACTTGTTGTGTATTCGCTGGACTTGACTGCACTTCTGAGCTGGTGACTGTAGTGCTCGAAACGTGACGCGATCCAGAAGAACGCCGTCCGGACGATGAACCGGCTAGAATGAAAGAATTAAAAAGAAAAACAATTACGATGAGTGAACGTGCAAGTCATAGAGGTAATAGTAGTGAATGAAAGTAAGGACGAATACGTATTAATACATGTAAGTAGGTGACTATGTGTGTGTTTGTGCAATGAAGCTAATGCGTACGTGTATATATGAGTGCAGATGAATCATGGTAAATGAATCGGAGAGCTAACTGTTCTAGTTAGATGGGCAAGAAAGCAGAATACTAGCATAATGAATGGAAAAATGTTCGCTCGCATTATCTACTATATACAAATAGGTATGTAGTTGGCAAGCTGTACTGCCAGTTAAACAAACCATTTTTGTACTACGCTGTCAGTATGCTGCTGAAAAGAGTTGCTTATCGTACAAACATGTTTCTTTATCAACTACATACTTAGTCCAATAGTGTTTGATTTTCATTTGTTTGTTTATAGTTTTCGTTTAGCACTGGGACACTACTCACCCGAACTATTCGGTGAATGTTGGCTACCGCGTGATGCAGTGCGCGGCGGTGGTGGTCCCGGTGGGCTGGGTCCATTCCGTGGACTACCCGGTGGTAATGTCTCTGTAATAGACATGAGATTAGCCATCGGACTTTGTGCTAATTGATTGACTGAACAGGCGGTTGTTGGTAATTGTGGCATAGGTGGTGGTGCTATTGACTGGTGTTGTGCTAGAGATTGAGGTGGCAGTTGTTGATGTTGTTGTTGTTGTTGTTGTAGTGCTACATGTTGTGGATGTTGTTGTTGTGATGACGACAAAGCTGGTGACGTCGAGTTGCCTAACGGCACAACAGGATGTGGCATGGGCGGCACATAAACTATAAAATTCGAATCGAATCAGACACAAATGCTTGACGTAGCTCTAGTATTTATTTAGGTTTAGAAATGTTTTTTTTTTCAAATTTTGCCTACACACAATTAACTAGCTTGCACAAACATACACACACTACCGGCATTAAAGAATTAAAATATATTTTTTCTAAAAGAAACATATGTGGTTGATACATATTGCGGCGTGTGTACATATGTATGAAGCGTTAGTTAGAGTGTGCGGCGAAAATGAAAAAAAATAATTAAAAATAAAAACAAAACCAAAATAGAAAATATATTAATAAATTTAATTTAATACAATCAATGAAATAACAAAATATTAAAATGCGAAAAGAAGCACATTGAAGAAAAGGCTATGAAATAAAAAAGCAAATTTAAGAGATGTGTTAAAAAAAGCGTCTGTCGGGTACAATTTAAACGTTGGTAAATAACAAATCATTTTGTTCTAATCAAAAATAACCTGAGGTTAGCTTATTGAATCAACCGAAAACTTTTTCTATTCAGGTCGTACCAGCGCGGCTCCTATATGCTATACATTCACACAAACATACATATACAACATGCAAAAAAATCAATAGACAGGAACACAAAATTTACAACTTACACACTTTCAACTACATACACTTCCCAGTAAAAAATAGGATCATCCAAAGATCTTTTGCAAGCATATGCTCGATTTTGGTATTGATCCATACATTTTTCACTGGGCTGTTAGAGGTTTCAGTTAACATATGTACATACTTTTATTTACAATAAAAATTTTGTGCGCCATGTTGCAACTAAATATTTATAAAATTTATAAAAATAAGCGCCAGCCATATTGAGTCACAAGCTTTGAGGTGCATCACAACATCCGCCAACAATCTGTTTTGATTTAGAATAAAATTGTACACTTAATTTTTAAAGCGAAATGGAGTTCTTCGCATAGATTCTTAGAGGGGTTTCTGAATTAAATTATTTAAAAATAGCTTAATCCCCTACAGGAAAAATCTGAAGCTGATGGATTTTTTCTGCACTCTTTCTATATTTTTTTTTTTACGAACAAGCCGAAACATTTATAGACCCTTACATTCCTAGATACCTCTTCTAAGTAACTTATGCATATACTTATGTATGTACAGTAGTATTTGTATGTGAATGAGTATGAAATTGTGGTGGATTCTTTTAAACATGACTGCGTAAAAACGTCAACGCATACGTATCCAAAGCTGTATTTATTTTTATGCGCATAAACATCGCCCAGAAAGGGAAGAATAATTGACTTCAATTTCAGTTTCGTGCTCAATGAGTTACAAAAATAGCTCATGTACATATAGCAGATATAAAAGAAACACGCTTTTTATAGGCAAAACACACGAATTTATACGAGAAGAAAAAGCGCCGCTGAAAAGCAATGGGGGAACTTTAGAATCGGTTGTAGAGAACTTTGGTTTACAAAACATTTCGCTTTTCATGTTAATTTCAACAAGAATTTATTTCTTGGTTGTGTGTATGCGCTGACCGTTTCTAAACAAACTTGTACAATTATAAACATAACTACATTGTATAAAATTGAAGAAAAAAGGAACTTAAAACAGTGTACATACATATGTATATACGTAAGTAAACAAACTCAGGGCGAACAAAAATAGCCAACAGATATGGAATGACTTGTCGACGGATGTACATTGGGGTGGTCAAAAAAAAAAGTTTAAGATATTAAGCTCTCACCCTCTAGGATTTTTCTAAATGGAAAGAATATCGATATTTTTATGTATAAGAAAATATTTATTTAGAACTGCCTCAAAGCCCATGAAGTTTTCTATGTACATATCTTGTATGGGGAAAACACTTTTTCGTATAAATGATATAGAATTCTTGAAAAGCAATATTTTTCGATTGAAAAACTTCCAATAATAATACCAAATTGATTATTTCACCATTTTTTATTCTTATGATTTTTGATATGGGTCCCCGATTGCATTTTTAAGATTTTTGGGGACATATAAAAACAGTTAATATTCAAAATGTTTAAATAAACAATTGGATACTGTTATTAGAAGTCAACTTAATACCGCCCAAATGTATATACTGTGCCTGTTTATGATTTCGAATAGATTAGATATGTGCATATGTAGTTTAGGGAGAGCAATTGCTCTGCTAGTTACTTTGGTAATGGCTTATGGCTCACTTGGCTTTGCATGATAGTTGTAACATAAGGAATCTGTTAAATGAGCTTTATGTGCAAGCGGTTACCCAAAGCACAGCATTACATATGTAGAAATCTGTTTGTTTTTGATTTCTACGTAAAAGTGATGTGCAATGCAGTGCAGTGTAAAGTATGCATAACTGAGCTATTAATTATTAATGTCCTCAGCTAAGAGAGAACCCAGTTTCTCTACATATTCATAAGCAAGCCATTTGGTTTAGCATTAAGCGGCCTTTACATAAGGCGATTTTTTGACAGGCGATAATTGCCTGCAAAAGTTGACTTGCTGTCTACTTTGAGGGAGTTGATCTTTGAATCAGCATTTACACGAGCGATTTTTTTGAACAATGTTGAATCGCCTAGAAAATCGCCTCATGTAAATGCAGCATTATATATATTCCTTTAGGCAACTGATTATATGTACTTATGATTATATGAACTTATTAGGTGTTTCACAGTGCGAATTACACCTTCTACATTTCTAGATAAACCCTCTTTAAATTAAACTTGTCTGCCAATCCACAAGAAAGCACGCAATGCACGCCAACCGTGCTGGTTTATAGCACAGAAGCATAGACAATGACAACATCGGATGAGGCGGCTCTTGAATTATTCGAGAGAAAGATTTTGCGAAATATTTACGGGCCTTTACGCATTAGCAACGGCGAGTTAAAATACCGCAGCTCTGCTGGCTTGGCCATGTGGTTCGAATGGACACCGGAACCTGCTCGTGATAGCAGAGGAAGGAGAAGGTCCCCACTGCGATGGAAAGACCAAGTGGAGAAGGACTTGGCTTCATTTGGCATTTCCAATTGGCGTCAATTGGCACAGAAGGGAAGGACTGGCATGCTTTGTTGAACTCGGCCAAAATCCCTTAGGCGGTTACAGGGCTAAATGAGAAGAAGAAGAAAACCCATACTTATGGGTAAAAAATTCCCGCCGTAAAACCGCTGTACTTAGTCCCATGACTACTCAAGTCTTTGCGTTTATTGTGTGCCAATACATGAATAGTTGCGCGCTAGGAAAAGTTTCAGCTACTACGAGTGACGACAGTCAGCCTCTCGGCTGGCAGCCGGTTTTTAGACCACAAAAAAAAATCCCTCCAACCAAGTGTGTGTAAAATCTCGTACTGCTTTGAAATTAGTAAAATAGTATATATAAAATACATATACAAATAGCTATGTACAAATATGTATATACTAACAACATACATATACTATATACCTATATAAGTACATATTTAGTAAATATAACTAAATGCAAGTCGTTCCCATTCAGACAAACAAAACAAAAAAGGCAACAACACTCAACCAGTTAGCATAAAACGTGTATGCATACGTCACTTGTGTTGTTGCTGCTGTTATTGCAGTCGTGGTAATGAATTCCATTTGCCTCGTAAGCCTCCCAAACCGACCAAGCGACCTACCGACCGAGCGGCATACCCTTCCCAAACAGGCTACCTTTCAAACAAGCTTTTGTCGAGTTTATACTTGGGTAGTATTTTGTATTTATTTTGTTCTGTGCTTTTGTGTGAATGTACAAGTATAGCGTCGATGTATTTGTAAATGTATGCATGAGCGCGCGTATTTTCGTGACGTTATGACGACGCAACACTGCAACAACGACCCCAAAAACTCACTGCTATGTTGTGTAGACGACCGCCTGCTGGTTTACTGCTAGTGAATGGGGCTGAAAATGCCGTATACTAATATGTAAGTAGTTGATGATTGTGGACATGCGACAGTGAAGAATGTTCGAGTGTTGCCGAACGGGTTGGTTGACTTTATAGAGAAAATGCTAGGGAGTGCAGAGGGTGTGTGGAAAGGTTTTTTTATAACTAAAAAGAACTGGTTTAGAGATTCAGTTGAGTTACTGAACAGTTTCCGCAAGAGTTGAAGATAGTACTCCTCATACGATGAGCCAATATTCGACTCATATTCTCGATATTTTCTGCACGAACGACCTCCCAATATGTAATCCCATATATATAGCACTATTTGAGCTTGCAAACCAGTTAAAAACAAATAATGGCGCCAACGCCAGTGCAACTTTGCTGCCATTGAAATAAAACCAGTAATGCAAATTCTCTTGTGTTGGCTGTTATATGCGACCTGCGACATCGAAAACATTGCAATGACAGTAAACCTGTACACACTAACACATAACACACACACACATAGAAACATAAAAACCATAATAGTAGCATCTGAATATAGAAAAACCAAACGAAAAACCAGTTAAGGCGCAGCAAAAAGAAAAATCAGCAACATGAAGGCAAAGCGTAGTTGCCAATGGCCAGCGTACGTTATTATCTTCGTCTTCAGCATTGTCGGCTTCCACATGTACCTACTTAGAAGAAAAATGTGTTATAAAAAAGTAAAATGAAATAAAAAGCAAAAAACCGGTCCGGCAAGGCGTGCGGCAAACGTCCGCTCTGCCCCACCGCCCAGCTGTTTGAACGAGCTCACGTAGGGACGCGTACGCGACAACCGGTTCGATACGCCGCATATGCACGTACAAGTAATCAGCATAGCAACTTGCACATACCCCGCTACCGTGGCAATCCCACAGGCCGCTCTTTACAACGCCACGCCACCCCTCTTCCGGCCAACGCATTCACAAGTCGCAAGTATATTTCTGTGTATACGCGCACTGACTTAATAAACGTCGTGGCGTGGAACCGGCTAAGCTTGACTGCCAACAACATGAGCAATGCTACACTCAGTTGACCGGCGTATTGTGTTGCATACCAAACAGTTTTAGTTCGTGCAAAAGTTAATCAACTTTTTATGCTTAGTTATCATGAAAATATACAAAAAAAAAAAGCGGAGAAAAGCAGACAACGAGGTAAGAAGCAACGGATGAAAACAAATGAGAAATAGGCAGTAAAACGCGACTAAGGCATACAGCGTTGATTGTCAAGTTGTGTTATTATGTACCTACCACTGCAGTATATGTACATATCGTATAAAAATGCTACGACACGTACAGACCACTTGTGCCAAGTGGCCCCAGTGGGAAAATCAGTTAAGCTATGAAAACTTCATATAATTTGCAATTGTTATGAGGATAAAACTGGAGGGTTGCGATTGATTTGGCAGCTTGCATGGGAAAAAACACGAGGAGAAAAGTTTTTTGTAAAGGGTATGCGCTTAGCAGGTGAAAGATGACAGCATAAATATGTAAGTTATTCGCAATAATATCATACTTCCCCTTTAAAATTGATTTCATAAAGCATTTGAGAATAGCAGACTTGAACTTCAGAAGCAGTCAATTATATAATATACAAAACAAGCAACGGTGGGTGGTGAATATCACTTTACAAATAACATCATATATGTACTACGTTATTTTCATCGCCCAAGGGAGAGACTTTAAAGTATGATATACACTTAGCTTACATGATTAAAGAGAGCAGACACTCTGAGAAGTTGGGATCAACTATGAATTTTAAGCTCTGTAGCAGAGCCGGATAAGCGAATAATGAGCCCACGCTATGCTAACTCTTTTTAAAGATTTGGACTATAAGCATACAACGTTTAAAATAGGGAAGTAAAAGACATATTCTCGTGTTGCACGGTGGAGAGAATACAGAGGTGGCGCCGATGACGATACCGCTACTCGGCTCTCAGTGATTTTGACAGAATCAGCTGTTTTGGTGACGTCATAGTAGAGAAGACAGCAGTAGTGATGTGCTGAGTCAATACTTTTAAGTACCCAATACTCTCGATACTCGGTACCGAAACATTTAGGTTTCGAATAAAAGCGCACATAGGCCAAAAATATGGAAAAAACGCCTAACAAAACCCGAATGTAAGAGCCAATAGAGCTTTTTTACTGATTTAAATGAAAGATGTATATATGTTGGTTCGATGCCATAATACAGAGAAACCCTTACTTGTTTGAAGCATTT